GTGAGGTCGAGTCATCGATGGTGGTGGGGATGTGTAGAGTTGTAGAGTCGTCGTCATGGCACCTCCAAGTGTCACCATGGAAGGTGGACATAGGTTGACTCAGGTATACATAGGTTGACTCAAAGGTTGTCCCGAACGTCTGAGGAATCTGTTTCATTGGACCGGGAGGTCCAAGATCTCCCGGTTTGGACTCATGGCGGAGGGTGGAGGGTGGAGGAGTTCAAGGATCTGGAGGCTTTGGAGATGAGAAATTGGTGGGTTCTCCGGAGGGTGTTGCGAGAAAAACTGGAAGACATACGCCCAGTGGATCCAGTTATTACCACTATAGTAGGTAATCAGTGGTTCCATAAACATAATCAGTAGACCTAGAAACCTGGTTCCTTATATAGTGGTAACTGGGATCACTGGGTTCTGGAAGGGGGATAACTAGGGAGGGGCCACTGGAAGGTAGCAAATTCACTTTGCAAGGCCCTTCAACACGGAGTGCTTCAAGCCTCTAGACTTTAGAGTGTTTGCTTGCACTTGGCTTTGTGAGGGGCTATTGATGAAGGGTTTCTCCAACAAGACTGCACCTAAGATCACCTTGGCACAAAGCAGACATCGTCCGAGTCATCCATTGCATCTTTCAATGACAATGTTGCTTCCATTTCTGCAGCACCTCCACTACTCTACATTGAAAACCACCCAAAACCACAAGGAATGCATGCCATATTATGGAGCAGCTCCAGATATTATGTTATGTCTGGGAATCTATACAGTACAGCTTAGGATGGGTCAGTATTTTATGGATAGTCCCAAACTGGGATACTGGGTAAGTACTGGGTGTATATGGGCTACACTCCCTGAAACAATAATGGAAGTGGAACATAGGCCGAACTCAAAGGGGGTCCTGGCCAGCTTCGGTTGTTGGAGTGAGGGAGGCGGTACTGAGTCTTCGAGGGAGGCGACCGACCTCGTCGCCCAGATCTTCTCCAGCTGCTGTCCGTTTGTCCGTTCCGGTGGCCGAGCTTGGGACTAATCAGCACATGCATCCCATCCATCAGGTCGTAGACCTCAAAAGAACCACCGGAAAAGCCGGGCGATGCCAAAGAAGGAGGAGGGAGGAGGAGGAGGTGTCTCACACCTAAAGTAGGAGGAGGAGAACTTTGTTCTTCCAACTCCGGAAGAACAGGACTTCCAATAAGCATCTTTTAATGAAGGATGCTCCACTGAATAGAAACTCCCCTGGAAAGCTTGGAGTCATTTTGGGATAAATGTCTCTACACTCCTGAATCATCATGGCATACGTGGAGTTTACGTCCACCTCTTTGATGTTTGGATTGAAAATTGGTCAATGTGAATTGGATATCCACGTAGGGCACCCAATGGAATATATCCCAACCTATCGCCCAAGTGGATGACTCATCAGTTGCAGGCATTTGTCCCAAATAATCCGTGCAGGCATTGACTCTCACAGGTTTTCTGGCCAACCCACATCATCACCCTACAGGTCATGAAAGCTCATTTGACTGGACGTATGACCGATTTCTACGTAGGGACCGGATGTCCGACAGAGGACCGGGATCGGGGTCCGGTTCTGGACTTGTAACCCTTGTATCCATCCCAAAAGACGACCTGTCTGGGACTGCCAGGGTCGGACTGCCTTCAAGTTCCGGCCAGGGGTGGTGTCAGGGGGGTCTGGGGCGGCATATATTCCAGTCCCATGGAGTGTCTGGGCATGATTCTTTCAGGGAGTCCACCATCCATGACCATCCTCCGGAGCCAACATTAAACCCGTACCAGTACCACACTGCGTACCAGGGAAACGGGTTTCCCCCCAAAGCAGCTCCAATGGGATCCAAAACAGCTTTAGTGGCAACCTCCTGAGTGGATGTCCTTATTTCTATACTTTCCAGAGTGGACCATGTGCTTCTTTCCCCCAAAACGAGTTGCACATCATTGTGACATCATCCACTCTTTAAGAAACAACATCTCTACTACCAGGAGTCACGTCAGACGGGATGGTGTGGCTCGTCCCATCCAGGGTGACAGTGGATGTGACAGGAGCACTAACCTCATCTAACCTCCATACCTCCATAGAGTCCGCACCCTGTTCTCACGTGACTGCTGGTCAGTCCCTCAGTCCTCAGATCTCTAGTCCCATGAAAAACCTGAAGGAGAAGGAGATCATGCCACGACCGGGTCGTCGGCTCTCTGGCTCCGTTCCGGCACGACCGAGGTCTTGGGAGGTCTTTGGGAGCTGAAGCGAAGGACCCAGAAGACGCAAACCCTTTCCCATCACCTGCATGGAAAAGGTCGACCACTCTTACCCCTATACAGGAACTGACCTCACTGGAGTTGGGAGAAAACATCACGACTCATTTGGAGGTTTTCAGGTTTTCAGGACACCCTTCTATAGATTCTGAAGACCATCAGGACCCATCTGACGAATTTCCATTGATTCCAAAGGTCACCAGATCCGATCATGCGACCCTTCGAGCTCTTTACACCCTCGTTCTCTCCTATTCGATCACTCGCTCGCCCCAGCCTGGTGCATCTCCTTCGCCGGCCTTGGAAGCGGACGGCGACGGCGGGGAAAGTGGCTTCCACCGTGGACTGGTGGGGAGCCATCCATCACGAGCAAAGCACCAACTCTCCTAGGGCTCCAGTCGTACCATTTCGAAGGTGTTGGACCAGTGTCACAGCCAGTCATACCATACCTGCAGGAGCTACGACTGGAGCCCTAACTAGTGCAGCTTTCCCGAGAAACGGCGAGAAATGGCAGCATTTCGGGAGGTGAAACCATGTGAAACCGAAGCTTTCCACCGACGTCGTCGTCTGGTGCACGACATCCACTCACTCTCCTGGTTCTACCGGTGGTCTCGGTGGGGGGATGGGATGGCTCGCGGGGGGGATGCGGAGGATCACGATGGAGTGATACCAATCGATCGAAGGTCTAATCTTGGATTGATAGCACCTGGTAATTGCAAAGAGCTCGTATCCATGACAAGTTACTTTATAGTTTTATACTTTGTTTAAACTTAAGCCATACCCAAACGCTCCGTTCACAGCCCGACTGGTCCCTCAAAACCATGGGGATTTGAGACCCCTGACCCCTCCAGAGGATTCGGGTCCGACCCCTCCATATGAGGGTCCAGGAGCGTCTGGGTAAATCATTAAGAATCTTACATTTCAAGAGGATTTCTAGCATCTTAGAGTCCGGTCACCAATCATGGCGGTGCCGGTTCACGACATGGTCATTGGCTCCTATACCCAGACACGACTAATGGGACTGCCATAGTAATATGCCGCCCCAGACAGACCCCCCAGACCACCACCCCAATGTACACAATCGATGGCAGTCCCAGACAGGTCGTGTTTGGGATAGGGTTCTTGGGGTGTCCACCGGGTGTCCTCCAGGTGCGACCCCACGGCCACACGTCTCATCATCTCGCATCACACTGCGCCAGCGGCCCACCCGTTTGGCAGCGCTCGTTGCAGGCTCCACTCGGGGCGAGACCCCGTCCGACGAGTCGGCAAAGGAAGGTCGCTAGGAAGGTCGCCAGGCAATCCAGAGGTGAAAGGACTTGAGTTAGTAACTTAGTATACATTCGAGGTTGGGGCAGGAAACGGACACCCCCAAATGGTTTCCCCGGTCCTTTTGGTCAGATGCACTTACCTCTCTTGGCCAGGTGTGTGGCCACGGAGTCAAGTCAAGTCATCAAGCTGGAAGGTCTTAAGATCTTGATGGCTTCAGAGAGGTCCAGCTTGATCAGCCCATCCAGGTCGCCATCCCATCTCTATTCATGTCACTAGTTGGCCCTAGTTAACGTCTCTCAACCTCTCTTGATAGCTTTGAGCTTTGGAGATCTATAGATTCCTTATGATTCCCATGTGTTGTGGATAAGATGTCCCAACATCTCTCAAAGGACTTGGTTAAGTTACCAAGTCAGTCTTATAGTCTGGATGATATTCACCCTATTAGACTTACAATCTTTTTGCACTTCCCCCCGTGGTTGCTGGTGTACCTCCCTCCGCCTTGAAGGGCTGTCATGAAGGTCCAAGCGCACAGCTCCATCTCCACTGATACGGACTCAACAATTCATTGTCCCCAAAAAGGGTCCATGGTTTCACCTTGGTCACTTACCCCCAAGGGTCCTGATCCTGTCCGCTTGATCCCGGTGTGAGTCGTGCCGGGACCCTCATGAAGGTGCTTTGCCCAAGCGAGCCACTTCGCCGGACCGCCGGTCGTCGCCGGCTTTCGTGTGGGCCCCCCGCGCGGCTGCGAATGGGGGGGAACAGCCACAGACACACTCGGACGAGCTGGTGCGGGCTAAGCGGGGAGGAGCACAAGCAGCTGGCAGCTGTAGATGTTCGCGTGTGGCAGGTCTCAGGTGGGTTGCAGAACCGACTCTCGCGGGTCGCCCAGGTGTCTCCGGGTCGCACTTTCAACTCTTATGGTCTCTAAGGCCAGGAGTGAAGCTTCACGGTCCTCTCGTCGCTGTGACATGGTCGGACGGTGGGAAGGAGTGAACATGGAGGGCGGCTGACATACCTGGCAGACAGGTGACATGGAGAAGGTCTTCACCAACCTGTTTAGTCATTCTGGCAACGTTCTTTTCGCATGAAGGAGGGCAGCTTGGAAGGTTCAAGCGTTTTATTTTCTGAGCTGGCAACTGCTGGCTCTGTACAAGACTATAGGTCTTGTAGACCTCTTGGGATTCGCTTCTAACTCATCGCAAGGGCGGCTTTTTTTCATTAATTTTGGGAGGCCCAGTCACTCTAAGAGTCCAAAGACTTTTTTTCGGCAGACCCAAGTAAAGGATGTTCCTCTTCGAGCCACCCTAGAAGACCTTCTCTGCAGCACCTTCTTGTTGCTAGATGTTACTAGGCCTCCAACCTAAAAGCAATGGCCTCCAACCTAAGACCTTCTCTGCCTGCGATAGCCTCCTCTTCTCTGGACTTCCAGGGATCAGGTGCCACATCTCGTCACACAGCCGCCACCGCCCGACGGTCCGGCGTCAGCGGCACGCCCGACGCACCGAGCTCAGAGCTGAGTTGAAGCCTTGGAGAGCCACGGACGTGGCGTTTGCGCAGGAAACGGTCTAATTCTGGGTTTCAAACCCCAGACACGACTAATGGGACTGCCATATATGCCTACATTGACACCCCTGGCACCACCCCAATGTAGGTAAATATGGCAGTCCCATTAGTCGTGTCTGGGAACTTTGAGGTACCAGGAATGACCTGGAGTGACGGGTAGTTTTAAGTCCAGGGCACCATCCCTGCCCTTCTTCCTCCAAACCTCGAAGGGCACCTCGATCGGACGCGACTCCGATTGACGTGACGTGAGACCTTCATCCGGAGAGTTCCGCGCGCCAGCTACACAGATCATCTCCGTAGGGCTCCAGGGTTCAAACATCGACACGTACTACCGGGTCGCGTTTCGTGGAGAGGGTGCCCCTGTCTGTCTGGAGACCTGTTTACGCAGTGTGGAGATATCCAGCCAGGTGACCCCGAACGCCCGGAAGCAGCTGGTAGGAGTACAAGCCTAGAGTCCAAAAGCCTAGGGATGCCGAGTCGGGTCAAAAGCTCTAGGGAGTCGAGTCGACCATTACGTCACACGACATGTAGACCATGGTCAGTGCCCCGAGGTCCAGTGGTCGGGAAGAGGCATGGCATGTCGCTTCTTTATACATCGGTGCCCCAACAAAACGTTGGTCACTGGACTTCGAAGAGGAATGATATATGATTGTGTTCAGCGATGGAAGCCATACATGACCAACCATCAAATAATTGTTGTTGTTTGTTGTTGTTTCTTTTAACACGTACATATTTTGGCTCCTTGTATCTATGGCTGGCGTGCCGAACTCAAATATATGATAAATGATGAATTGGAGCAAACTGTTCCCATCAGTGATCATTCAGGGTGAGATTTGACAAAAAAAGACTTGTTACAGGTCTTCGAGAGCGCTCGCTTGCGACCCAGCCAAAGTGTTATATGAGGCCTTGCTCTTGAAAGTTAGGTCTTCCTCTGAGACCTCAGTTTGAGGACACTGAACTGCTGAATTTCTGCAAAGGACACTGAACCCGGCCCCAAAAAACACTCATTGAAATGATCATGGAAGTGGAGTTCACCACCTGTTTGTAGAGGAGCATGGTAACATGGTCATCCAAAGGGCAATGTGCAATTTCCATGATGATTTCAGGAAGTGTAATTAGAGGTCACTTCTCAAGAAGCTGACAACTTTCCTGGAGCGGCCTTTCAAACACCCAACATGCCACAAGAACGGCCACGAACAACACAAAGTCCCGTGTCTTTTTCATGCACTTTTCGCGGTATCTGGCAGTTTTCTTGTAGGAATTTGGGGGACACTTCTCAACGTCCAAACGTGAGTTCCACAGCATAGCCCGAGCAACTGATGACATCCGCATCCACCTCGCGCGTGGCCATGACCCTCAGCAATTGTCCAGCCTCGAGAAAAGCTTCGCTCCACAGCTTTGCTCTGGACGGAGCGAAGAGAAAGCGTCGCCGCGCGTCCGCGACCGGGGCAACGAGCACATGCCACGCTGCTGGGTGTTGGAGGGTTGATCCGGCTTGCCGAGCGGGTTGGGAGCCACACACTTGGGGAGTTTGGACTTGGAATTTGCACTTGGGAAACCCCGGGATGAAAAGGTCTCTTTGAAGAACCAGAAAAGTGGTGAGAACAGATCTTCTGTATTCCTCAACCCACGCGCCGTGTGGGGGTCCTGGCTGGAGAGACCTCAATCGTGTCGGGTATTGAAAACCCCTTTGGATGGGTCCTGGATGAGTCCAGATTTACCATGCCTCACCCGCTCATCCACTGCTTTGCAACTGTGTTTTCGGGCATAGGTGCTTCCAGAGCGTCCAACAAATCAAACAAACTGCTCTCTCTCTCTCTCAAACGACACATGGCGAGCCGAACAAACCCTGCTTTAAAACATCATCATCATCATCATCATCATAATCATCATCATATTCATAAAACATCATCATCAACATATTCATAAAACATCATCATCAACATATTCATATATCATCAAACCATCAAAATTCAGAGGGAGGCTCCACAAACATCATTCTCCGAGGTATAGGGTCATTCATGCGTTTGGATGGGTACTTGTGCAAGCCGTGCTTTGTCTCCGCTGGTGGGACGGATTTGACACGTATACGGACATCCTTTTCTTCCAGGTCGAGCACCTGCTAAAGACCCAGCAGGTACAAAAGGACAAACCAAGAACTCAAAACTTACCTTTGAGACCTTCCAAGAAACATCAGTTGACCAAACGCAGCTCATTTGATCTCGGAACTGTTAACGAGAGATTCCACAATCTGTTGACACTTGAAGAATAAACCAGTGTACACTACATTGTTGGAATCACCTTGATATGGAGGTTTAATCGTCAAAAATCACCATTGCGATGCCCTTATATAAGAATAAAATCGTAAAGTGGGCAGTGGGCATCCACTCTCTAGCAGTACCAGGCGACAAACCCTCCAAAACTGCATCTTGGAGAGTCCTAGACATGTTTCAAGACGTTCGATGTCGAGTGCTGTATGTTTGGTCAATCGAAAGGGTGTTTGGGTCTGCGGAGTTTCTGCGATGCGCTTCGTTTTCTGCCCGAACGACCAGCCAACGACCAGCCAACGAGATTCCAACCAGTCCGGTGTCCGACGGGAGGAACGAGTGAACGCCAAAAGTGATACCTGGGTTTTCAGTGTTAGTTATCACATGTCAGAACATATGGTGGTTGATTCATCCACTGTGGGTATTTTCCTGTCAACATAAGCTCTTCAAAATGCTCTTCAAAATCCATGTATGCCTTGCAACTCTCGCGCAACCTTTGCCCAATTGTTCCCACCCAGTCACCATTGGCCATCGGCTCACGCGATCGCAGCTACTGACAGCGGCATTGTAACCTCGGCAGTGGCTGGTTCCAGCTGGTGCTGGGGTTCATGGTGTCAGTGGTATAGTAAAGTCATGGTTGTTGAATGGGGAAATCCGAAAACCAAGTTGTTCCATCCTATTGGGAGTGGGTCCAGTGTCCCAACTAATTCGCTCGTGAACACCCCTAAGATAATTTGTTTTTCGCCGCGAAAAGGTGAATATAAGTGAATCATCATCGTTTGTCAACCATCACCACGTCGAGAAAACAATACACAAATTGGGATTGTAATGGGAGGACCGCCCAAGCAATGGATTTCTGTTCCTTGTGATTGTCCCAAGTCTTTGAGGGGTCGGCCAATTCTATAAAACACACCCAAATGTTGAGGGAAATTTTCATTCGCTGCCATAATGGTCGTAATCATCACGCCGAGACGGGTCAAATTCCGACTGCGCTCTCGTTGCGGTGCCGTGCGCATGTTCGGACTTTTCGGTGATCACTTGTTCTGGCAGGTGCGAAGCGAATCTTGTTTTCGTTTAAATGCTTTTTGCTGATCCAAAAACCAAAGTGAACCTTTCGTGGGTGCAGGAGATCGAAGCTGCTTCACTTTGCAGATTTCGTGGCCGGTGCAGCACTTTGGACATGGCGATGGTCTTAAAGGCTCGGTTTTCCTGGCAGGTCAGTGAATCGTGAGTGGCTCGTTTTGTTTTCAGAACATTTCCCAGCAAGAGACCCCAAACAGTGTGTGCGTGTGTGTGTGTGTGTGAGGTCTAGAGATCCAGAGAGGTGATGAAGGTGGGGATCGTGGTGACGGTGGCGGTGGTAGTGAGTGAGTGAGTGAGTGAGTGAGTGAGTGAGTGAGTGAGTGAGTGAGTGAACTCGAGTGAGTGAACTCGAGTGAGTGAACTCGAGTGAGTGAACTCGAGTGAGTGAACTCGAGTGAGTGAACTCGAGTGAGTGAACTCGAGTGAGTGAGTGAGTGAGTGAGTGAGTGAGTGA